AGCTCCCTGGCCCCCCGAGCGCATCGGCGTGCACAGAGCAGCAGGCCCAGCAGGGCGGGCCCCACGGCAAGTGCCTCCGTCCACAGGGCCACGTGCAGCATCCTGTTCTGTGCAGGTGGGCAGGTGCCCCCGGGGCGGAGCTCCTGCACCATCTCCCTCAACTCCTGCCAGGCCCTGAGCCTGGAGGGCAGCCCCGAGTACGAGCGAGTGCTCGACGGCACCAAGTGCGGCGACCAGAGGGTGAGTGACCGGACGCAGGGCAGCACGCGGCCCCGGGGGTCCCGGACGCAGCCCAGAGCAGGGCGCTGGCCGCTGGAGGGACGTGTGGGTGGAGGGACGTGTGGGCGGGCCCCTCCCCGTCCTCAGGAGAGACTCGGGAGTGCAGAGGCGCCGGGGAAGCCCAGTTAATGTGGTTCGAAGACCTTCCAGTCTGCAGGTCCCCCAGGGGACAGGGGCACCGGTCCTCTGTGGCCCTGGTGGCAGCAGTGGGCGGCAGACAAGGCCACCCTGGCTACGGTGGCCACGGCTGCCCCTCCCCGAAGCTCACCTGCAGGTTTCGGGTCTGCTTTGGCTGCTGGGGCAGTGGGGGGGCAAGGGTGGGGGTCCTGCCTGACGAGGCCTCTCCGCCCTCCAGGTCTGCTGGAGGGGGCTGTGCCAGGACCTGCACGTCTACAGATCCAGAAACTGCTCCGCCCAGTGCAGCGGCCGCGGGGTGCGTGGGCCTTGGGGTGAAGGAGACTCGAGGGCCGTGCTTAGGACGAGCCCCGGGGGACAGAGGGCAGGGGCCTGGAGTGGGCAGGGGTCTGTGGGCCACCATGGGGCCTGTGGACACGTGGGCTGCTCTGCTCTATTCTGGGAGGGGCGAGAGCGCCAGTTTTCAGTGACATGTCTGTGACGTGGGGAACAGACGGGAGATCGCTGAGAGCTTGAAACAAGAGTCTGGAGCAGACCCCAAGCCTCCTGGGGAGGGCTGTCCACCCTTCCTCTGCCCAGAAAGCCCTCTGGGGTCTGGTGTCTGGGTGAGGGGCTGCTGCTGTCTGCCTGTGTGACAGCCCTGGGCCCCTGGACTCGGGGGCCTGTCCCTGTCAGCAGGGTCACAGCAGAGCCCCTCGCCGGCCAAGGCTGGGCCCGGGGCCTCTGTGGGCCCCGAGGGCCCCTCCTGATGCCTGGCTGCCCCCAGGTGTGCAACCACAAGGGGAAGTGCCACTGCAACCCGGGCTGGGCCCCACCCCGCTGCGCGGAGCCTGTGGCAGAAGCTCGCACAGGTAGGGCCTCACTCCCCAGGGCCTCCGTGCCCTCACGGCCTGACGGGGTGGGTCCGACGGGGCCACCCGGGTGGGAGAAGCGAGCCGAGTGCCCCCAAACCACTGGGAATCGTCAGCGCAGAGACTCGGACTCACAGGCCCAGGTGCTCCCCGCCCACAGGTCCAGGGTCAGGCCCAGGGGCCTGTGACCCTTTCTCTCACAGGAGAAGGGTCCTCAGGTGGATGCTCACTGGTGGGGGATGGGGCAGGAGGGCCCTGGCCGCCCTCCCCACCCCCTGCCCTATTGACGCCTGGCCTCACGTGCCCACAGCGACCGAGAGCCTCCTGGTGCCCGTGCTGGTGCCCGTGCTGCTCCTCCTGGCTCTGGGCCTCGCCCTGGTGGCTGTGGTTGCCTACCGCAAGGCTGGGAGCCACATCCGACGGAGGTGAGGGCCCCTGGGTTGCACAACGCCCGTCTGCCACGAGCACGGCCCGTCCTCGCCCTGTGGGGCAATGGCCCTGCTGCTGCTGGAGGGGGAAGAGAGCCTGTGGTGGGGCCTGGAGGGCCTCTGGCTGGGCTGGGGCAGGTGGCAGGTGGCGCGTGCGGGGGACAGGTTGGTGATGTGGTGAAGCACTAGGGGACATCACCTCTCTTGGGATGACCACACCACCCACTTGCCGGCTGCCCACCTGGAAGAACTGTGACCCTGTGCTGGCCACAGCACGAGACACATGAGGCTGTTCTTTCTGAGTCGCTGTGGTGGTGTACCATGTGTGGGGTGGCAGGCACTGCAGCTTGGGGTACCCTGGCCAGGCCAAGAGATGCCATGCTTAGGGGCCCCCAAGCCCCTGGGTCAGACCCTGAGGCCAAGATGCATTGACTTGTCTAACCTTCTCAGCAGGAACGTGGCTCCCAAGACCACCATGGGGCTCTCCAACCCCCTCTTCTACCAGGGGGCCAGCGGGCCAGCAAAGGGCACAGCTGCGGCTGCCCCCGTAGGCCCCCCAGAGCTGGTCTCCACCACGCACACCACCCCTGGCCAGCCCTCTAGGCCCACGGCTTCTGCAGTGACCTCTAAGCGGCCACCCCCTGCCGTAAGCATCAGCCGGCTCCCCGGGCCGTGGACCCCTGAGCCGGGGCGCTCCCCCAGGGCCTCAGAGCCGCTTCCGCACGCACCCTGTTCGGAGGCAGGACGGAGGCTTTGGGCGGGCGGTCTCTGGACCCACGTGCACTGGTGACGGAACTGGAAGTTGAACTTGAATCTGAGGCTCCAGGCCTCTGCAGGGACCAAGGACAGTTCTGAAGCCCAGGCAACACCACCTCAGAACGTCCACACGGTCAAGGGAAGGGGCTGTGCGGGTGTTGGTCAGGCTGGGCGGAGCTTTATCCTTCCTCTGGGAGGGGCAGAATGTTGGGTCCTCAGCTGGGGGGTGGGTGTGGTGGGGGAGCCCCAGGAGGCACTGCCCCCCGAGACCCAGGCTCCCGCCCTGTTCCCTGCAGCCTCCGGCCACCATGTCCAGCCCGCCCTTCCCAGTCCCTGTGTACACCCAGCAATCCCCAGCACAGGTGAGCAGCAGCACGGCCCGCAGCCAGGCACTCCAGGTGGTGAAAATTGGGTCCCGGGAGGCAGGAGGTCCCGGGGCTGGATCTGGTGGGCTGGGGACCCCAGGGTGCAGCCACTGCAGTTTCAGAAGGTTGATCAGCGAGATCAGGGGTCCAGGGCCTGAGCTTCTGACTGCTCCTCCTCCTTCCAGCTCCGACCTGCTCCTCCCTCCAAGCCCCTCCCGGAGCTGAAGCCTAGACAGGTGAGAGGACCTGGCCACTTGGCCGCACAGAAGACCCCCTTGGCAGTGCCTGTGCTCTGCCCCTCGGGCCAGACCCCTCGCTGCCTGGCACCCCAAACCCCAGGACTGGGTGGGGCGCTCCCCTGCTGGCCTGACCATCTGTAGGGTCACCCAGAGCCCCTTCTGCAGGTCCCAGGGTCCGGTCCTTGTTGGCTCCCCATTGCTGGGCCTGCTCCCCGCCCACCTCGGCCCTGGACCAAGGCCGCCTCCAGCAAGCGGCTGCCTCCGCGGCTTCTGGCGCACGGGAGAGAAGGGAGGGCGGGGCTCCCCAACCAGCTGCCCCTCCTGGAGCAGGCTCTGCCCCCAGGCACCCTGTGGGGGCTCCTGGTGTCTACCTGCCTGCCACTGGCGATGTTGACCCCTGCAGGTCTCTCCCTGTGACCTCAGGTCTTGGAGATCCTTTGAGATGAGACTCCTACTACTTTTTAGACAATCCGCGTCGATCTCCCTGCAGCTCCCTTGGCTGTGGTCCTCACTTAATGGACATTCTCTGTTGCTTTCCTTAACTTTCATTCAGCACTAACTTCTGACTTACGGAAAGTTGCAAAAAATGGCCTAAGGAGGGGTTTTGACAGGCAGGATGGGGACCAAGTGGGCAGAGAGCTTTGTGGCCCAGAAAGTGGGGATGGCCAGGCAGAGGCTGTGAGGAGTCCAGCTTCTCAGTAGGGTCCCTGTGGGTCACTGAAAACTACAAATGCCAGGCGTCACCCCAGCATCCTGGGGGCCGGGGCGTGCCACCAGGCTGAGCCCGGCCGCACCAGGCCTGGGCAGCCTTCTGCCCCCACCCGGAGTTTCCGTCATTAATTCTTGGTTTGCAGCTTCCAAGACCCACGTTCTGGCAGTTTAAACACTTTTCACTGGTGCAGGGGAGGTGCGGGGGCCTTGGGAGAGGGTGACCGTCTCTGGCTAGTCTGGGTTTCATTCTGCCGGTGGTCATGGGTGGAAGGAGGGTGTGGGGTGGGGCTTTTCTGGAGAGAGCTCAGCAGGGCGGCCTGCGGTCTGGGGCAGAGCAGAGCGCTTGGCAGGACAGAGCTCTGCTCCAGCCGGGGCAGGTGGCACCCACTGTCACTGTGTCTGCTTCCTCCCAGGCGGTCAGGCCGACCTGCACGCCCCCCGTGCCACCAGTCAAGCCCCAGGCTCAAAGGGCCAACCCTGGACCCACTGAGGTGAGCCCCTCCCCTCGGGCAGTGCCCACCTGCGGGGCCGGTGGGGGCAGGCTGCGTTCCTTCAGCAGGCTGCGCCGTGGGCTGGAAGGAGAAAGTCAGCTGCGGGTTTGCTCTACCCTGGGCTTTGCTCTGCCAGACGGTTTTGCAGGGATGGCTGCTTCTCCCGGCTGTTGATTTGCCTTCACCTACTGGTCCGAGGACTGAGTGGGTCCTCTGCAGTGTTAGCCGGGGGGCTGTGGGGTCACCGTCACCACTGCGTGCACAGGGCTAGCTCACTGCTGGGTGAACTGAGAATCTAAGTTTTAAGAAGTGTGAAAGGAAGTAACCTTCAGGTGTTTTGTAGCAGGTGGTTTTTATTGTTTCATTCTTCCTTCTTCAAGGGAGCTGTTGGCCCAAAGGTCGCTCTGCAACCCCCTGTCCAGAGGCGGTGAGGGCTGAGCTCAGAGCCTTGTGGGCATCCTTGGCTGCATCTTGGATGCACCCGCTGTCTGCATCGTGTTCCTGTTCAATGAGCCCTGTGCCCTCCTCCACCGAGCCCGTCCCGCTTGGTTCACTGAGAAATCACAGCAGAAGAGCCACTTCCTCGGGGCCAAGGTCCCGCTCTAGCACCCCAGGGTCACAGCCCAGGGCCTCTGGGTCAGGACTCTGCTGCTGTTCCTGACCTTTCACGCGTGCTGGTCACGCTTCGCTACGTCCGCGGGGCAGGGTCAGCCACAGTGGCCTGTGCGCGCGTCTCCCAACGGCCATGGCCTTCCCCAGCGTGCGGAGGAGGCTCCTGCACCCGCTCCCCGCTGCTCCGGACCCCTCCAGGCGGAAGGCCCGCGCGTGTGCACACGCCTGTGAGCCCACGCTTGTCGCAGGAAGACCCCGCCGCCGCGCCCTGGCTGCAAGCCCCTCCCTCTTCGGAGCCTGTTTCCCGGTTTCCCTGATATTTAAGAAGGAAAAGCTAGTTTTTACTATTAAATTATTGATCAACTTCCAAATGACTGGATGCATTTTTATTGGATGGAAGCCCAACAAGGTGGAATTCAATTTGTAAGATTTAAGGGTCCAATGCTTGTTAAAATAAAACGTGCCCTGTACGAAGGCGGCGACGTTATGTTTTCCTTGCTCTCCGATTGTATCATAACCCCCTAAACTGAGCAGCCCGAGTGCCCCGTCGCGGAAACACGTCGAGGGTCCCCAGCCCCAGGCGGAACTCAATCAGCACCCGCAAAACTCCTGCCCTTCCGGCGCCCCGCCCCCCGTCTCCCGGCAACGGCTCGGTAGCCCGCCCCTTCCGGCGCCGTTTCCTGGCAACGGCCCGACAACCATCAGCCGTGAGCCAAGCTGGGCTCCCGGGCCTCGGCGCCGTGGTTGCCCAGCGCGCTCCGCGGCCTCTGCGCCTGGCTGGACGGGCTCCCGCTCAGCCGTCCCAAGCGCCACCTGGCCCGGGACTCCAGCGACGGCGGTGAGGGCTGGCGCAGCCCCGAGGCGAAGAGGGACGTGGCCGGCCAGACGCTGTGGCCAGCGTCTCACGAAGGGTCCCAGCTCCCCGGGCTCCGGGCACAGAGCTGAAAACCGCAGAGCAGGGCGTGAGGGGCGCCCCGGGAGGGGTGCGCAGGACGCGAGAAACGGGGGGAGGCGATGTGGGGGCGCTGACGCCCGGGAGGAGGAGGAGGTGGCGGCAGCGGAGAGGGGCCTCGCTGTGCATTTAGCACCGTCGCTCGGCAGCTCCCCTCCCCTGGCATCGTCTGGGACCGATGGTGCAGACTCCGGGTCCCCTCCAGCACCTCCGACCCCCGCCCAGCTCCCGCAGCCCGGGCCCTGGGCACCCACACCCTGGTCCCAGCGGTCGCTCCCCCAGGACTCCACTCTCTGTCCTGATCCACCTCAGGGCCATGGAGACTGATGATGGAAAGAAACAAGGGGGTCCTGCACCGGGTGGACGGGGCTCACCTGTAACCCCCAGCACCACCCTCAGTGCTGCTGCCGGGGATCGTGAAGCATATCCGCCCCCAGCTGGTGGACCTGCCCAGCCGTGTGCCCACCTGCAACACGGACCAGAAGCTCGGCAGCTGGAGCATTCTCAACGGGCAGGCTCTCAGCCTCTCTCCTTGGGGGGCCCCAGTCCTCGCTCCAGGAGGGCCCTCCCTCTGAAGCTGGTCTGGTGGCCACCTCTCGCACCCTTCCTGGTCTCCTGGACAGCTCTCGGGTGGCGTCCGTGCTATGGGTTTCCCTTGTCAGTGTCCGTCCGTATTTCTGTCCATCAGAATCTCACCATCAACCTGGGCTCCGGGGGGTTCCCCACCAAGAGGGCAGCACCGGTCAGCTTGAGGCCCACTCGCTAGGGTTTCAGTCCTGCCTTCTGACCGTGTGTCCAGCCCGCACGGACCACCCTCTCGCTCGCTCACTCAACCCTAACCCTGGGCTGGCCCGGCCTTCCTGGGGCTGAGAGCCTGGCGGGCAGACAGATGAGGGAGATGCATCAGGGGTGAAGGGTGCTGTGGGGGACAAGGCCGGGCACCCGGCAAGACAGTGAAGTGGGTCGACCTGCGGCTGGGGAGGGGCCGCAGTGGGGAGCAGGGGGCAGCGTCTGCGTCCCTCTGGGGAACCGAGGGCTCAGAACGAGGCCCCTGGTGTCCCTGCACACTGCACTGCGGGCCCTGCTCCTGGCCTGGGGCCCAGGACCCCACCGGGGTGAGGGCTGTGAAGGGAAGTGGAGGCGGGGGAAGGAGGTGACTGCAGCCAGATGTCGCCGGGTGAGAAGTCGGATTCTGGGTGCTGGAGGTGAAGCAGCAGGACTTCCTCGGAGTGAAGTGACTCAGGCAGGAAGGTGACCTCTGCCGCAGTGTCCCCGAGACACGCATCAGGGAGGTGATGGCCCAGGCTGGGAACACCAAGCTGACTGCACAGGGCACCCAGGATTCTTCGACCCTAGCGGGAGGGCCACCAGGCCTCCACAGGTGCAGGGCGAGAAGGGGCCCCATCCGAGGGTCCCCTCTGAGGACAGCCAGGCCACACTGCTCAAGGGTTGCACCCCACCCCTGCTTCCTGCACAGGGAAGTCACAAGCTGAGTTTCTGTGTCTCAGAGGCTGACGGCCGAGAGGTGGTGGCCAGCATGCCCGGGGCCATCGAGCCCATGCTGTGTGTGCTGAGGGAAAAGGTGGTTGCCATCGCTATCCGCGAGGACCCTCCCAGTGCAGCCACACGTGTCCTCTAGGTACTGCCTTTGAAGCTGCTGGCTGTCACGTTGGGCCACGGTCTTGTGACCTGGCAATGAGAGGGCGAAACTAGGAATTAAGTGACAAAACCAGGGAACTTTGAACGACCGCCCCCTGGTCCCCCAGCCTCTCTGCGCCCCCCTCCCCTCTGTGACTAGGAAAAGCAGGGAGGCCAGCTGGCCACGCAGTCGGGGGTCAGCCCTGCTGGGCTGAGTCTGAGGTCCCACTCTGAATTCTCTGCAGGATGCAGGCGTCTCCAGTGCTGACACTGGGGGTTGTGGGTCAGGGGGCTCGCGCCCAACCCCCATGCTGCTGGCATCCAAACCCCTGGCCCTGGAAATGGCCTATAAGGGGTGTGAGGGCGGGCAGGCGTGCTCGGGGGACACAGGGCCCATGGGGCTGGTGGGCTTCCGGGGGAGCAGCTCCGAGGGGCTCGAGAGGGCAGTCCCAACGCCCTCTTAGTTCCTGGGCCTCGGCCCCCCCCAGTGGGAGCCCACGGCTTCTGTCCAGGGGCCACACAGGGTGGACACATGTGCAAACAGAAGCTTCTGGAGGCAGTACCGCAGGGTGGCATTAGGCCATGCCGTGCCCGCGTGGCCCTGTCCCTGTGGCCTTGCCCCCACCCCAGGAGCGGCTGCGGGCCCGGCTCCCTTCTGAGGCAGAGGCCAGCGCGGGTTCTGCGGACTTGCAGGCCTGCTGCACCCCCCGGCGCCCTCCAGGGTGAAGACCCCCTGGAGTCAGAGGGCTGCGGAGAAGGCGGGACACGCTGTGTGCCAAGGGTGGGCCCTGTCTCTCGAACCCTCTGCCACTGTGCCCCAGCCACCCTTTCCCGCCAGCTGCCAGGCTGCCGGCCAGGCGTTTGCCTTCCCGTCGAGCCCCAGCTGCGAGCCCTGGAATGCAGCAGCTGCTGGAGGAGAAGCAGCAGGCGCTGGCCATTCTGCAAGAGACAGTCAAGGTGCGGTGTCCGGGGTGCCCCTCCATGTCCACACCCTGATCCGGGAGGGAGAGCAGCTGGCTGTAGGCGGTACAGGGAGGCACCGCCTTCCCTTCTCCACAGCTCGGACCCAGTGTGGGGGCCATGGCGTTGGGTGGGACACGCAGAGCCTCTGACCGGGGAGAGCCCGTATTCAGAAAACAGTTCGACTACACACGCCCAGCAACACAGGGAGAGTGTGGTGCCTCTCCCCACGAGGATGCAGCCTTGCCTCCCCAGTCCCCAGAGCCCAGGGCGAATGTTCCAGGGGCTGCAGACAGTCACGGGCCTCACCACCCCGACGTGCTGGATGGACAGCAGGCCCAGGGCCAGGGGGCCACATCGGGGGTAGAAGACAGTCTCCAAGGTGCATGCCTAGTTCTAGGGTGCCAGCCTGGTCCCACGGGCACACAAGAGGCCTTCTTCCGCGCACCTGGTTCTGAGGGCGTGCAGCAGCCTGAGGGTCTGCAGCGGCCCTGGGCCAGGAGATGCCCGGGCCCCTCGCTGGCAGGGAAGGGCCGCCCTGTGGGAGCACAGGCTGCCGCTCTGGCGGAGACAGTGGGGGCGGAGCAGGCGCGCAGGGCACCCCTGTCGGCTGGGCGTCCAAGGAGCCGGCAGGGATGGGGGTGACCCGGTGGTTCCCGGTGAGCGCTGTGGTCTCCGTGCGCTCTTTTCTTGAGAAAGCAGGAAGCTGATGTCACCGTGCGGTTGGCCTTTGCTGAGGGGCCGCGGGGAGGAAGTGCCACGGAGACACGCAACCCCTGCCTGGCCTGGCCAGGCCCCGGGCTCTGGTCCCTGTGCCAACAGAGTGGGTGGATCGTGTAACTATTGATTCTGTGAAACCCAGAGGGACGGCAGCTCTACCTGTCTTTCAGAGATTGTCACTGGTGTGGCTGTTTCAGGGGGGATGGCAGACGCTGGGGGGCTGTGGGGGCAGCAGCTGAGGGCCTGTGGGGCGGGCAGGGCTGGCAGGTGGCTTCTCAGTCCCCCCGGAGGAAGCCGGCACCCCACCGTGGGCAGCCCTTCGAGACCCTTGCTGGAGGGCAGCCCGGGGAGGGTCGTGGCCAGGATGGGTGGGTGCGACGGCCACTCACCCCTCCAGGGTTGGGGGGAGGGGAGGTGGCTGTGCCTGGAGACACAGGCGCTGGCTGGCAGCAGTGTCCTCGCCGGGGCGTGGGCCGGCCGCTGCGGACCTCATTTTGGACACGGCGTTGGGGGCAGAGAAGCCCTTCCAGCCCCCTCGGCGGCGGCTCCTCTTGCCTGCGGCCCGTGGCGGGCGAGGCCCGAGCTTCCAGGAAGCGGGGGGTGGCTCATGTGCGGCCATCCCCAGGGTTGGGGGGTGGCCAGGGCTGTCCTCGTGCTTCAGGAAAATGTTCCATTTGATTTTTTCCCTGAGAAAACGATTTAGTTTATCCTTTTAGATTTCATTTATTGATTTTAGAGAGAGGAGGGCGGGGTGGGGAGGGGGGAGAAACACGGACTTGCTGCTCCACTCGCCTCCCGCACAACCACTTGGTGCGGAGCCTGAACCAGCCATCTGGGCGCATTGGGATGACGCCCCACTCGACCCAGCGACCCGGCCAGCCATCTCTGCTCTAGACCGACTTTAGTGGGCTACAGTGGTCCATAAAGTTCTATAGGTTTTTAAAAAGATTTTATTTGTTTACTCTTAGAGAGGGGAAGAGAGAGAGAGAAGCATCAACATGTGGTTGCCTCTCACACGCCCCCACCTGGGGACTGAGCTGCAAACAAGGCATGTGCCCTGAGTGGGGAATCGAACCCGAGACTCTTTGGTTCGAAGGCTGGCGCTCAGTCAACTGAGCCACCCCAGCCAGGGTGAAATTCTATAGGTGTCGAGTGTCCGGCCCTACCGCACACCACCTGCACACTGACGCTTCCTTGACCGTTAGCTCCCAGAGGTGACCCTGGTGCCTGCCGTCCCACTGGGTCGGCCACAGAGTCAGCACAAACCCACTGGCCTGCTCCGCCCGGGGCTGCAAGGGGCAGGCAGCCCTCCCGTGCCCTGCGCCCGCGTGGCTGTCACCCCGACCCCCGGGCCCACTTCCCACAGGGCCTTGCCTGTGGCAGCCGAGTCCACCTCCCTCCGGGGCGGCCCGCTCTGCGGCCGTGCGGCCTTGCGGTAGGGCTGGCTGGACTGTCGGCCCTGGGACTGGAAACCGCCCACTCAGGGCGTCGGCCATGCAGAGACGCGCGTTTTCCTGAAGGTTTGCGCACGAAGGTGGTCGGGCTGGAGCCCCAGTGGAGCTGAAGGACGGCAGGTCGGGGAGGTGACCAGGCGTGAGGACGAGCCCCAGGGAGCGAGAGGCCAGAGAGGAAGGCTCCCGAGTCAACCGGACGCTGAATGTGAACCCGCTGGACGTCCCCAGGCTGGGGCTCTCCCGCGTGCGGCCGCACGCTGTCTGGTGGTCTGAGGGACACCTTGTGCCCAGGGTGCGGGGCACCAGTGGGCAGAAACGGGCGGTGTGGGGGCCAGGGGCTCAGCGCTGCCCAGGGTCCCCGACCAGCGTGGAGGTGAAGACGCGGGCCCGGCTGCTGTGAGCCTGGAGGGTCTCATCCCCACCTCCACTGGCAGCACCGTGTCCCCCGACCTGAAGTCCCATGGGGGAGAGCCTGCTCGAGGGGGGCTGTGTCCCCCGGGTGGTCCCCTCTGCCCGAGGGGCCGGGAGGACGGGGACAAGGCGCCTTGGGCCCTGCTGGCCACCCTCACTGCGTGGTCCCCGGTGCCTCGCGGCAGCCCCTTGAGATGGGCGGCTCACCCTGGTTTGCTTTGCGGTTTTGGGGGGTCAGGGAGGAGCTGGGCCTGCAGAGTGGGCCTCTTCCAGTCTACATGGGGTCCCTGATCCCTGGGGAGGAGCTGGCCCTGGGACTTGACCTGAGGGTGGGCAGGGCAGAGCCGGGCAAGCAGCCCCCAGCCCCGGGGATGGGGGCCGTAGAGGGACTCCAGCAGGGGGCATGGGTGTGGCCGGGATGCTCCAGATACCAAGGTTGGCCCAGGGACGGGCAGGGGCTTCTCGGTCCTGGCCCCAGGCTCCCCTGCCGCTCCTACGCACAGTGGGGGGCTGGAGGCCACCCCAGCCTTGGTTCTGTTCCCGGCTTTCGCTGTCTCATCCCAGACCCCATGCTTCCGGGCTGAGAGTCGCCCTGCCCCCACCTGGCTCTGGGAAGCGCGTCAGGATGAGAACCGCAGGCCTCCGTCAGGGTTTCAGCCTGAGTCACGCAGCCCACGTGCCCCCTGAGTCAGACGGGGTGTCACAGCCCGAGCAGGCCCCGCCCCCACAGCACGGGACGGAGCTGCCGGCACCTGGGACGGGGCCCCAGGCCCTTGCTCGGAGGCCTGGGTAAGAGGACCGGGGGCGGGCGATTGGTCTGCCCGGCCTTGAGCCTCGAGGGTCCGGAAGCTCTCAGGAGCACTGGGCGGGGTGCGGTGGATGCCTGAGTGCCCTCCGGGGGTGGCCTCGGCCGGGGGTCCGGAGCCCGCTGGCTGAGCCCTCCCAGGCGGGCAGCACCCGCCGGTCCGTGTCAACAGCGGGAAGACCCACCCTGAGACTCGGGAGCGGGGCACTCACAGCTCACACTCTGTGGCGGCTGGGGGTGGGGCAGGAAATAGCTGGGCAGGGCCGGGCCCAGAGCCTGAGTCAGGGCAGGCCCTGCTGCCTGCCTGGGAGGGGTCCGGGAGCCAGGCCAGCGTGTACCCTCACTGCAGCTTCCCTGGTACCTCCAGGGCCCAGAAACACGGACACACGTGCATACATGTGGAAGCAAGTGTCCACACGGAGCCTGTGGCTGAGCGGAGGCTGCTGTGTGTGCACACGTGTGCCTGAGTGCCCTCCGGGGCTGGGTTGAGGCAGGGCAGGGAGGGCCCGGGGCTGCAGGGAGGAGGTGGGGAGGGCACGAGCAGGGCAGCCTGAGGACTCACACTCCCCGCCTCCACCCAACACCTGCCTGCCAGGTCCCCTGAGGGCTCCGCTTGGGGTGGGGACAGAGCATGGAGTTTGGGGAATCAGCCTGGGGTGGCAGTGTGGCCCTGGCAGGGACCCGGGAGCAGGTGCTGAGCACCAGGGGCCGCGGGTAATTATTGATAAAAGCTAAATATTAATAAAGAGGAGGAACAAAGGGAATCGGTCCTTGAGTTTAATAAACTAGGAAGCAGAAGTGTGTTTGATTCACCAGGGAGTTAGGGCTTCACACCCAGGGTGCCTATTTTCCCGCTCCAGGGCCGGGTTGTGGGGGGCGGGGGCGGGCAGAGGGGGAGGTGCCGGGCCACAGCGCCTGTCAATCTAACTGGTGAGTAAACCTATCAAAAGCCCGCGACAGTGTGGGAACTGACTGGTTTTTTTGAAAAGGCATCAGATTGGTCCCAAACCCGAGCTAAGGTAGTCCCACGGGAACAAAGAAGCGCCCCCTCCCCCGCCCCCGGCCTCCTCGCTCGCGGTCTCACCCACCCGGTGATGCACTTGCCCCTGCGCGCGCCACCCCGCCGAGAGGGGGCCCGCGACCACCGGGCCCGGCGGCAGACGGACGGAGAAGCGGAGGAGAGCAAGTGCGCTGCCCGTGCGGACAGCGGGTGGGGGAGGCGCTTCCTTAGAGGGGAGGAGGGTCTTTCTGCGCGTGGAATATCTGACAACTGGGCAACTTTCGAAGGGGGCATCAGCGTGCACCCCGGTGTGGCCGCCAACAGCGACCAGAAACGCACTCCCCCCCCCGCCGCCGAGCCGAGAGCGCAGGCCAGCACTCCCGCCCCCCGCGCCCGCACCCCGCCTCCGAGCTGACCCAGCGTCTGGACCGGGCCTGGGCTTCCGGAACCCACTTCCTCATTCGAGAAAAGGGGAAGGAACGTGCTCACCGGGCGGCCGCGAGGGCCGGCTGGGGGTGCCTGGCGGGGGTGGGCCGGGCGCCAGGTCCGCCGTCCGCGGAGCCCCGGCAGCTGGCCCGAGGGCGCCCCCACGTGGCCGTTGTGTGGACAGCAGGCCCGAGGCGGGCCCGCCGCCGAGAGCGCACGCACGGTGCCCGCCCAGAAGAGCACCGGCCCTGGCACAGCCCCGGGGGCCACCCCGCCGGGTGCCCGCTTGTGCAGACAGTCGGAGGAAAGACGCCGCGAAACGGGCGGACGGAAAACCAAATGGTTAACGGTGCCCTTGGGTGGCAAAATGGTCATTTCTCCCCTGTGCTGTTTGTGACTTCCACCATAGCAGCGCGTTGTTCTGCCGCTGCGAAGGTGGCGCCCCGTCCCTCCCAGCCTGCGCGGGCGGGGCCCTGCAGCCTCCCCACGGACCTCGGGCCGTTTCAGCGGCGCGCGCCTGCCTCTGGCGCGGCCGGAGCACACCTCCAGGGGGAGAGAAGCTCCTCACTCAGAGCAGGAGGCCAAGGGTGGACCCACCGCCTTGGGGCCTCTTCACGCCCCGGGGAAAACAGAACCGCTGGACCCAGGCCTCACCCCAGGGAGACTAGGGACCCCGGCCCAGACCCCCTACCCTCCCCACCATGTTCTCAGGGGTCTTTGTCTCCCCACCCCCAACAGTGTCACAGGTCACAGGGTGGGATAACGCCATACCTCTCCCAGTGACCCCCCCCCATCCCTCTGGGCAGCCACGTGGCTGCCCAGGCAGAGGGCGGGCCCAGAGATCAAGGACAGTGGGCAGGGGCCGCAGGTCAGAGTGGGACCTGCCAGGCGGGGGTGGGGCTGACGGGAGGCTGTGGGGTGGGCAGGGGCTGTGGCACCCACACGACCGCCAGTGGCAGTCACCTGGGCACGCTGGCCTCACTCCAGAGCCCCGGCCTCGGTGCCCCCCGCCCCTGTGTGCAGCCCATGCCAGGCACGTGGCCAGTGGGTGAGGAGCCCTCTCTGGGCTCCCCGAGGGAAGACCAGCCTCTCGGGGAGGGTCTGACCCTGCCTGCACCCCCCCTGCAAGTGTCGGCCCCCAGAAGGACCCCGTTTGCTGTGGGGAAGGGAGGGAGGGAGAAGCTTAGTCCTCGAGGCCCTGAGCGCCCTCTGCCAGCCTGACCCCCTCAGGGCCCAGGCAAGTGCACCTGCTGCACCCCAGGGCCCCTCACACACGGGCATGCTTCCCGCTCGTCCTCGATGCCCGAGGGCCTGCTGGGAGCATCCAAGCTGGACACGCTGTGGCCCAGTGCTGTCCTCAGCCCTGGCTGCTGGGATGGGAGACCTAGCCTAGACGCTTCCCCAGACCCTGGGTTCACTGAGCCTTCCAGCTGCCACCCCACTTAGGGGCAGTGAGCGCCCGTGGCCACCCGGCTGGGGCCAAGCCAGGCAGCATCTCCGTCCACAGGGTAGTGGGGTGGGGTGTCCTTGGAGGGGCCTTGGGCCAGGAGGATGTTGGTTCTGACCCTGGCTGGCTCTTGTTCCTGGGAATCAAGGTCACCCTTCTGATGGAGCTCTGGCTTCCCCTTCAGCAAAGCGGGGGAGTCGGGACAGGGGCCCCAGGCTGTGCTGTCGGACACAGGGGTCGGCTGGTCTGAGGCTGAGCCCCCTCCAGCATTCCCGACCCCTGACTGACTCTCCAGGCCCCTGAGGCAGCAGTGGAGACTGGTGGGCCCAGGGAGTCACCCGCTGTGGGTCAGCCAGAGGAGGCCCCAAGAGGGCTGTGAGCCCGGCTGTGCCAGCGGCAGCCACTCCTGGGGGAGGCCTGAAGGTGACGCATCCCTCCCCAAATCTGGGGGCCCAGCCCTTCCTCAGGGGGAAAGAGGCCCCTGAACCTGGTGCTGAGACCCCAGGGGGCGTGAGTAGGAGGGGGGCAGGCTGACCACCAAGTGTGCATGTGTGAGTGTTCAAGTGTGTGCACACCTGTGTGACAAACCAGGGGCCCAGGCCCTGGGCCAGGAGCTCAGAGAGGCCCCCGATGGCCGGGGCTGGGCTGCCCAGCCCACAGTCCGGACAAAAGTGGCCACAGTCCTTCTGTGGCATGGTGGTGAGGGGGGCCTGGAAAGGCCAAGGGGGCCCTGGGAAGGGCCGCCCACGCGGTGGCCTTGGAGGGCAGAGGAAAGTTCCCAGGGCCGGCCCGTGCTCCTGATACAGCGGAGAGAGAAAGAAAATATCAAGAAGCTGGATTATCTCCCGCAGGGAGTCACACTGGCCAGCCTTGAAGCCCTGACACGGAGGCGGGGCCTGCCGGGGCTCGGGGTTAACCCTTGTCCCCCTCCCCCAGCCCGACACCCTGAACCACCCTGTGTTCAGCACAGACCTGGGGGTTCCCACGGGTACCCCGGGCCACGGAGCTCTGATCCCGCCATGCTGCCTGTGCTGCTGCCCTGGGGCAGCCCTGGCGCAGGCCCCTGCCCCTGCCCCTGGAGCCCTGAGCCCGGGCGGCCCCAGGGGCTGCAGGAACCTCTGGCCGCCGCCCCCTCGCCCTCCCAGCCCGCAGGCTCCCTTCCCCACGTGAGGCCTGAGGCCCAGACCCGGTGGCCTGTCCCTTCACCTCTGCCCACCCACGTCCTCTCCAGGCTTAGCAAAGGAAAACTCAGGACACCCAGTTAGGTTCCGCTTTCGGGGAAACAGCATTCGTGGGGACTCCGCTGTCCTC